TAATCGGCAGGAGGCGGTCTCTCAGGTACCCAGGTCACCTGGTTGTGATGAAGATAGTTCGAGAATACTGCTGGGAGGAATTACCATATGAGTATCCCATGCAGTTTTAGTCTTCTAAATCTTTTCCACCATAAAAGTAAAAGTAAAGGTTCCCCTCGTACATATGTTCTAGTTGTTCTGACTCTAGAGGGTGGTGCTTATCTCTGTTTCAAAGCCGAAGAGCCAGGACTGTCCAAAGACATCTCTGTGGTCATGTGGCCGGCATGACTAAACACCAAAGATGCAAGGAGCACTGTTATCTTCCCACCTATTCTTCTACTTGCATTTTTACATGCTTTCGAACTGCTAGGTTGGCAGAAGCTGGGACAAGTAACGGGAGCTCACTTTGTTATGTGGCGCTAGGGATTCAAACCACCAAATTGCCAACCTTTCTGATTGACAAGCTCAGTGTCTTAGCCACTGAGCCACCATGTCCCATTTTCCACCATAAAGGGCACATCAATAAGCAGAAACAGAGACAGAATATGAATATATTGTTATATTCATACTTTATTTCTGATTCTCACCTACCATTTGAACCCAGAGTCTGGGAAAATTGCCTTTAAACAGACAACTGGCTTTGTTGTCATTTGTGACATTATGACAGTATCACACTATGTCTTTAAAAGGATACGTTTGGATCAGTTGGCTCTTCATTTTATTGTTAAGGGAAAGGCTTACTGAACTGCAGTTATCAACCATGCTGAAAAGAACAAGCTCATCTCAGTTCACAATAATATGTTTTCACACAGATGTTATCTAATAACACCAATCAACCCTGCTTAGGAAGGGTCACTGGCTGCCGCAGGAGATTTATATAACATTCACAATCCTTAGAGGCAAGGTGCTAATTATGAATCTGACACAGAAAGAGATCGACAGCTGTGTCTCTCTCACAAGCTGATATGCAGATTTGCCTGATTCCCTTGCCAATATTAACTTAGTAGCTGCATTACATTTAGGTTGCTGTTTTAAAGATCCATAAATTCTTTAATTGAATTTTATTGGGCTTATAGGTATACCTTGATTGGGGGAAAATGGTATCACTGTACTAAATATAATACTATATCTTTTATAGTATTTATAGTATCCTGGTACTAATCAAGAGTATTCTGGGGAAGCAAATTTTTGACTAAAAATAAAAAGTAGGGGGAGGGAAATAAGATATATTCTTTATTGCAGCTTTCTGCAATATATTTAATACATTATTTTGTATAGAAAATCAAGGCTGAGAAATAATAGACAATTCATTTTTTAAATCAGGTTCAATAGTTTCTTGACAATAAT